GGACATGTAGTGGGCGCATGGTCACTGAGTGCTGGTCCCAGGAGCACATGGGACGGGCACAGGGTCAGTGCCGGTACCGGGGGCACAGGGGAGGGGTGCAGGGTCGGTACTAGGGTGCCAGTCCTGGGGGCCCACGGGATGGGCGCAGGGTCAGTGTCGATACCAGGGGCCCACGGGATGGGCGCAGGGTCGGTACCAGGGTGCCGGTACCGGGGGCCCAAGGGGGGGGTTGCCCCTGGCCCCTTCACTGGCAGCGTTAGCTTCCCCGCACGCCAGCGAGGGAGCGGGCAGCGGCGTGCCCGGAAAAGGCCCGGCCCTGCTCCGGAGCCCAAGGAGCTTGGGGGATCTCTGCTGTTGGTTGGGGTGAAGTGACGCCAGGAGGTGAGGACGGGGGGACAGGGCAGGGCAGGGCAGCGCTGGCTGCTGTGGGGCTGGGGGATGAGGAAGGCAGGAGGGCAGAGGAGAAATGGCGCCGGATGGGGACATGTAGGGTGGGCCCATGGTCGCTGAGTGCTGGTACCAGGGGCACACGGGAGGGTCAGTGTCGGTACCGGGGGCACATGGGATGGGTGCAGGGGTGGTACCAGGGTGCCGGTACCGGAGGCACACGGGATGGGCGCAGGGTCGGTACCAGGGTGCTGGTACCGGGGGCACACGGAAGGGTCAGTGTCGGTACCAGGGGCACATGGGATGGGTGCAGGGGTGGTACCAGGGTGCCGGTACCGGAGGCACACGGGATGGGCGCAGGGTCGGTACCAGGGTGCTGGTACCGGGGGCACAGGGGGTAGTGCAGGGTCAGTGTCGGTACCAGGGGCACGTAGGATGGGCACAAGGTCGGTACCAGGGTGCTGGTACCAGGGTCACACGGGATGGGCGCAGGGTCAGTGTCGGTACCAGGGGCACATGGGATGGGCACAAGGTCGGTACCAGGGTGTCGGTACCGGCGGCACACGGGATGGGCGCAGGTTCTGTCCCGTGGTGCCGGTACCAGGCCCTGCTCTCGGGCCGGGCGGGGTCCCAGGGCTCGCGGGGCTCCTGGGCCGGGCGGGGGCGCTGCTCCCGCAGCGGGGGGGAGGGCGGTACCG